AGAAGCAAACAATGGAGAACCTTGTTTTCAAAATAGGAACTGGACTTTCCCTCCCCACCCCATTCCTTACAACCTGTTTCCAGCCAGGAAGAGGTGGTCTCTGGCTGGAATGTTTCCTTGGAAAGGTAAGGGAGCATTCCACTGCCTACTGAAAAATTTCAAAAATCACAGAAGAAACTTCTGTTTGTTTTTAGGACACAAGATGGTGAAACAGCCCAAGCCAAAGAAGCCCAGCAGAAACAGGGCTCCCCACACCAGGAGTGGTTTACCAAGTACTTCTCCTTCTAAACTCAGCCTTGAGATACCTCAGAGAGGCTGTTAGAAAACCACTTAAAACGTCTGAAGGAGTGAACTACAACCAACCAACCAACCAAAACATTTCATACTATTTCATTGTGACACAGGTTCATTAAAAAATCTTGATATTAAAGATAAATCAAACCAATGTTATTAAAAAGCACCCACAGGAAAATGTTATTAATGTTCCAGTGACCTATACCATTTGTATTTCCAGTGTCCGTGACATTGTACTCCACTTTGTGGGCTGGCAGACTTTGTGGTTTCCGTGGTCTATTTTAAAAGTGGTTTCATTTTTCCTTAGGATGCTAGTCATTTCCACTTGAAAAGCTGCTTTTTATGTAAAATGATATTATTCCAAAATACACATCCAACCTCAATAGGAAGAGGAATAAAAATAAAGTTCAAAACAGGAAAGTCAATAAAAAAGAAAAAAAAAAATCGACCTATTAGGAATGAACCACAGCATGCGTAGTTTGCATGTTCTGACTTCCTGGGTCTAGGACAGGCAGCAGATTACAGAGGGTTAACACCTACCTCAGAAGGGGCTTTGCAAGATTAAACAATGAGTGAAGACGCCCATCAAGAATTGGAATTTTTTGTGAGTAGCTGTGCCTTGCCCCACCAAACATCTGTTTCAATGACTGTCCTGTCAACTTGTTATTTTTGAAAGTTTCTAGCCCATCTGATCTCTGAAGTCAAAGATCTCCAGAATCCCTGGTATTTGGGTTTGGGCCATTTGCCTCATGATGTGTTGCTGCCCCTTTGCATGGACTCTCAGTAGATCAAAGGGCACTGGGAATGGCTGCTCACGGTGCTGACCTTGCTCTCAGTCCACATGCATTATCTACCCTCTGCAGAGCAATGTGACTTGACAAAGACTCATGCAAATTTTAGTGGGCAAAATATTTTCTCAATCCTTTGGTGCTGGCCCAGTAAGTGGCCTAAACAGATGTTAACTCTATGCACTGTCAAATCTTTGCTCTTTGAATAAAACTTTAAACAACTGGGCAGTAAGAATGGTTGTGCTGGTATTGCTTTTTCTTAAAAAGGTAGAACTGGATGAAGACAGAGTTGAAAAGTAGGAAATTCATTTTAAGCTCAGTCAGAGCATCAACAAATAAAAAGTGGCAATAACATACTTCACACACATCAGTTTGAGAGAAATGCAAGTAAAATTGAAACTCAACATTTAAAGGCAAAATTTACTACTGAAACAAAACATGAAGCTAATAGGATTTTGTTGTTGAAATGCTGGGAAGTGCTCTATCACTGAGCTCAGCAGTGTGGCTCAGTGGTAGAGCATACACTTAACATGTGCAAAGCCCTGGATTCAAAAAAAGAACTCGAGATTTTGGAATACTTGCATATATATGAATATATGAGATTTTGGGGATGGAACCCAAGTCTAAAGATGAAATTCATTTGTTTCATACACACCTTAAACAGCCTGCTGGGTAATTTTATACATTATTTTTAGTACACCTGCATTTTGACTACATGCCAGGTGTGGAATTTTCCATTTGCAGTGTCATGTCAGTGCACAAAAACTCGTGGATTAGGGAAACTGAACTTGTCTCACATGAGTATTAAGTTCCAACAAATGAACTTTAGGAAAACAACATTCAGATCTTGGCCATAAGCATTGTGTTTTGTTTTGTGACAGGAAAAAAACTATACACAGGTGGTTATACTTCTGAGTTGAAACATTATCACAACCCTGTACAACTCCTAATAACTAACAAAGCAGACTGCACTATATACTACTGTCCTCTGACTCAGCATACTTTTGCAGGGACAAAATTATGTTGCTACTACATCTGTTTTTGACTCCTTTCTTACTTCAAGTGAAAGAACTTATTAAATTTCTAGATTCTACCTTGAAATAACTAAGCCTTTGTTAACCAAATTTTTACATTCTTCTATTAGTTTTTTGAGACTATTTCCTTGAGTATTGAAGTAAGGCATCTAAAGATACACAAATAAACTTTTAGTTTATTACAAAATAAACCACCCCAAAAGTTTCTAGTAATTTGTTATTTTTACCAGCAGAAAATGAAATTTTCACCTTTTTGGAGCCAATTATAGTAACAAAACAGATATGCTAGATATAATTCCATCTGTTTGAGGTGGCGTCATCTGATTCCACCAGACTCTCAAGAGCAGCCCTAGAGGTGATGGTAATGGCCTGTAGGTAACAATGGCTATTGAGAGACACGGACTGATTCAGGTTTGATGCTAAATCTTTTCAGGCTGTATTATGACCAGAGGCTGAAGAGTTCCATGTTCCTAGGGCTCTGCTGGAATGCAAACTGTTTCTTAACTGGGGTAGAAAAGAACAGATTCTGATGCTGCAATCTGTATCCGGGGTAAAAATGGGAGTTCATAACCCACTTGAATCAAAGTGTGAAATATGATTTGTCAAGAACTATGTAATGTTTTGAACAACCAACAATAAAAATTAAAGAAAAAAAAAAAAAGAAAAGAACAGATTCAACCCATCAGTTGCTGCAGACCACAGACCTGGGCCCTTAACTGCTCCAGCATTATTACCACAGCCAATGAAGTGGTTGTGGTTTAGACTCTTGGTCAACAGTCACTCTCCAGGATCCTTCTGAACTCTGTAAAGGTGAGGCTGGCAAATTAAACAGCTATGACAGGGACTTCCTTCAGTGTCTTACAGATTTCTAAGGGTGGCAATTACCTCCACCATTACCCATAACTCTACCCCAGGATTCAATATTGCTTTTGTTTTTAGTAGTACTGGGGACTGAACCCAGGGCCTCACATATGCTGGGCCGGTGCTCTACCAATAAGCCTCACCCCCAGCCTCCTATGACACTGTTTTGATCTACTGTCTTCCACTAGCTCTCAGCTGTCTGCCTTGTAGGTGACTGATCTAGGACCTAGAACATGCAGGCACTGCAGCAACAGGAGAGGAAAGCCCTAAAGAGGTGGGAAGGGTTGTCTATGGGGTGGGAAGACAAAGGAAGTCCTGGAGCATGAACTCTGGTTTCTCCCTGAAGGACACAGCAGTGCAGAGAATTCCTATGTTCAGCAGTCAGCAAAGCGTCATTAAAAAAAGATGTTAACAAATTGACAATATTGGAAAATCATTATTTATTTGACGGATAACTTCTGAATTAATATAAAGAAATGACAGTAACTTGTATTTACATTCATTCAAAACATTTTCATTAAGCACCAAGTAGAATAGTTTCTGATCTTTTCACCAAAAACACTTTTATCATTGAAAGACTGCCTCAAACTTAGTTTATTTTGTGGGGGATGGGGGGGGCAGGGATACCAAGGATTGAACTCAGGGACATTCAAGCCACATCCCCAGCCCTATTTTGTATTTTGTTTAGAGACAGGATCTCACTGAATTGCTTAGCACCTGGCTTTTGCTGAAGCTGGCTTTGAACTTGCAATCCTCCTGCCTCAGCCTCCTGAGCCACTGGGATTACAGGTATGTGCCATCACACTGGGCGTTTATTTAGGTTTTTAATCAAGAAACCTAAAGCTGCCAATCAGAGCTTCTATCTGGCATGAGATGACCAGGTTAAAACCCTAAGAGTAAAAAATAACTTTTAAGTTTTGACTTATACACTCCAACCAAGGGGAGATACGCTGGCCTCAGGCTAGTCATCACAGGTCATAGGTCCACAAACCAAGTATCATCCTCACAGGTCACAAACAAAATGAGTAATATGTATACACAAAATGAGTACAAAATACATGTTCCTGTATATTCCAGGGGAGTAATGCCCATTTCCCATGAGCATACAATGCAGCAAGGAGCACAAAAAAAGATACCATTCACTAACCCACAAGACAGTGGAAGGAAAAAAAGCCCTGTGCCCTGGAATGGAGTGGAGGCTTTGTGGACCAGGTGGCATCCAGGTCACACCAGGAACATGAGTGGATATCAAGGCGCATGGGAAGGGATCTTCAGGGTTGAAAAGGACAAAATGAACCAAGACACAGCCACAGACCTACTGACTATTCAGAAGACAGAGGAGTGTTTGTACTGGCTGAGGGATATAATCTAAGAGTTGCGTAAAACAGAAAATAGAAAACCTCTTCTGACAAGAGGGCACAATACTTTCCCCACAGAGGATCCACATGCTCTCGGTGGAGGTGAAGGAGCTGGGGATCACTCTGCAGGTCACCTCCACCCCAAAGCCCTAGGTTCTTGGAATCAAATCCACTGAACAAGAACCTTCCTTCATGTAAACTGCCTTTTCTCCAAAAAGTAAAATAAAAACACAAGCAAACAAAACAAAACAAAACTCAAAAGAAAAAGAATCAGACCAAGCTTTGACCCCTTGTCCATCACTTGTGTCCCAGCGTCATGCTAGGGAGACTGGGTCTGCTGTTACTCACACTGGTTCATTACTATGAGGCCTCCAGCATGTCGTGCTCCCAACACAGCTCCCTCAACACAGCAAACACCACATAACACATACACTCACCCAAACAAAAGGCAGCATCAACTTAAGGATCTCTGCTAACCTAGCATACTTGAACCCTTTTTTCTGACATATTTACAAAATATCTGCATTCTGTACTGCTATGGAAGCATTACAAATGTTGCATTAGATTCCTCTTCTTGAGGTAGTTCAAAGTCTTGAGATAGCAAATTTACGTATTTTTCTGTACTACCATGGATGTGTAGTAATCATAAAAGACCAAAAACCAAATTCCTTCTCCCCTCATTCTAGGAGTACTTTAATTTTCCCCCTCGGATCATAGCAAACTAACAACTGGGGGGAAAAAACTATATATAAACTACATAAAATTTTATAAACAAGCAAAAAGCCAAGAAAAAAAAAATCTGTGGAAAACTAATAGTCTAAACTTTGCTACAGACAAAACAAACAAAATGAAACCTCACTTTGTCTACCAAGCACTTTATAAAGTACTAAGTAATTAACAGCTCATAAAAATTGGGGAAATTTTTAGGTGGAGGTAAAATTAACACCAACTCATTCTCTAGCAAATAGCTGTTCTAAAATGCCACGTCCACACAGAGAGGTCTGGAGGAACTGTCTGCAGGAGGCTACCTTGTAGGCCAGACCTCTCTCAGGTCTGCTTCATAGGCGCAGGGATGTTGGCAGATGCCTGTTCCAGGTAGGCCAAGGAGCCCTGAGGGACCTCAGCTGGCTTTTTGTGCTGCACATTGATGTCCTCCAGCACCTGCTGCCAATGCCTCAGCTTTGTCAAGTGCTTCTGCACCAGCGCATCTTTCCGCTGCAACTCATTTCTTAGTTCTGAGACGTCCTACAGATGAAAGGGATGGAGTAAGTCAGAGGAAATGCTGGGGAATAATAAAGTTCTTGATTAGTGAGGAGCACCAGGAAGCAAATTCAAAACCATTAAACCATATCAGCCCATTCCTCTACTTGGCTCCACAGTTTGACTAATCTAAAGCAACTCTTCCAGTGAAGCTGACCACCTAATAACCAGAGCTTTTATTTTTAATCATCTTGTTAAGTAACAAAAGTCATAAAATTTAAAAAGCAACCCAGGGCTACTGTAAAAAAAAAAAAGAAAAAAAAATCGAATACTTTCTCATCCTGTTTCCCAGCCATCTAGCAGCCCTCCCTTGTCCAAAGACTACAGCTGAGATTAGAAAATATTAAGAATGACAAACATATCAGCAATTGCTTGTAGGAATCCCCATCAAACCAGGTGCTGTGGTGCACATCTATAAACCCAGCTACCAGGGAGGCTGAGACAGGAAGATCACAAGTTAGAGGTCTACTGGGCAACTTGGCAAGACCCTGACTCAATCTTTAAAAAAAAAAAAAAGTGGGGAGCAAGGAGGCAGGGATATAGCTCAGTAATCCCCAGTACCACAAAAAAGAATCCATACCACTGTCTATAATTTCAGATTTCAAAATATTAAAATTGCAGATTCAAGAGATTTTTACAAACACCAGCATTAAATCTTTTATTAAGACCCAGACTTAACCACACCTGCATTGTTATTCAAGTATTTGTATCAGGAAACAAGTTAGCACAATAGACTATTAAGAATGTCATCATCTTATAATTCTCCCTCTCAACAGCTAGTATCGTAACAAAAAAGAACCTTTCTGATTAACTGGTCAGCTTCTAGGAGATACTTTTTTAAAACTATCAAAACCTTATAACTTCATTTTAGTGTTTCTCACCGGGAGCACCAAGGGCCAAGTTAGGGTGGGAGGATTCCTCAATTCTCCACAATGAGGAGACAGGTCCTGGTTGGATCATTCATTGTCATTAAAGCTTCCTAGTCTTTGTGGCAACCCCAACGTATTTCCAAATGCCCCAGTCTAGAATCACTAAGACCCACCAAAATCCTAAGTTTTAAAGAACTATGCAGATCATTTACTTTTTGGTTCTTTGAACAAATTTGACAGATCCCTTTCTATGTGTGAGGCACAGGGCAAGGCAAATGTTCACATTGCCTGTCCAATATGGGTTTCTACCTATATTAATGGCTTTTCACTCTTTTTCACAAGGCAGAACTTTCTCTTTAAGAAAACATTTACTTAAAAAAAAGAAAGAAAGAAAAATTTACTGTGAAAGCCAGTGTGTGAAAGTAGGCAGAGCTACTCTTAAAGAGCTGCTCTCCACTCCTCACTCCTGGTGGCCCTTTCTGTCCAGGATGTCATAAATGGTGACAACCAGCACCATTTCATATTGATCTATAAATCCCTGATACAATTCACAGGTGTGTTTCATTAAAGCATAGATAGACTCATAAGACCAAGTGTTCTTCCTAAAAGTTGAGGAAAAATTGAATTTGTACCTCTTTTATAACTTGCTCAGGTTTCTGAACAGACAACTGCAATCTTTTTTGTAGAAAAAAGCATTCTGTCTGTCTGGCAATATCCAGAAACTTCTGGATACACTGATCAACACCTTAAAAAAAAAGAAAACAGTAAGAAAAACATTTAAACATATATATCTTCCACATAAATAGTCAGATACATTAAAAAAGCCCCTTCTTATAGATGTAGTCTGGGATTTTAATCTTAGCCGTAGCAATATTAACTTAAAACTTCCCAGGTGTTAAGCAATATTAAATAGCAGATAATTTGTAAGGTACGTAAGGTAGTATGTGCCTGTAATCCCAGCAGGGAGGCTGAGACAGGAAGAGGACATGAATTTCAAGGCCAGTCTAGGCAACCCAGTGAGACACTGTCTCAAAATTAAAAATAAAAAGGGCTGGGGATGTAGTTCAGTGTTAGAGCACCAATACTAGGAAAAAAAAAATTTTAAATATAATATGTGCTTTTATCAGGAGAAAAAGAAACCTTACACAATATGAATGCCATGAGGATTTCTAATTAAGAATATGGAGATTCAGGGATCATCATGGTTTCTTGTTAAAACAGAACATTTAAAATATGGTACAAAAAACTCAGAACTGACTCTTCTGGAGACACAACACTGGGGTGAAGGATAAACACAGAAGATTTTTTCTCTATAGCACCTGTTCAAAAGATAATATCAATCTAGTTAGAAATGGTGGCACATTTCCAGCAACTAGGGAAACTGAGTCAGGAGGACTGCAAGTTTGGGGCCAGTCTTGTCAATTAAGCAAGATCCTATTTCAAAATTTAAAAAAGTCTGGGTAAGTAGTTCAGTGGTAGAGCACTACTGGGTTCAATCCCAAATACCAAATACCAGGGAGGGAAAAAATAAAAGATAATCACAACTTGTGGACTTTTAAAAAAAGCAATTCACAATTAATCTTTTTTTCCTGTTACCAATATGAAAAGGTCATTAAAAATGGTTCATTCTTGGGCTGGGGATATGGTTCAAGGGGTAGAGTGCTTGCCTGGCATTCGCGGGGCGCTGGGTTCGATCCCCAATACGACATAAAAATAAAAAATAAAGATATTGTGTCCACATAAAACTAAAAAAATATATATATTTAAAAATGGTTCATTCTTAATGACACACCTCTCAGTTAATAAAAAAAAAAAAAAATCCTCAGCAGTTTATAAGGACTATCTGTATATATCTTATTCCCCATAATAGTTCTCTTAGGATATACACAGGACTGAAACAGACGAAGTGCAAAATCAGCAATAAGGAATCTTGCTGAAGGCAGGAACACTGTCTAGAAAGAGGGAATTCTTACCAGTTCGAATTTCTTCCTGATCGGTGCCATTGACATAATCTTGACTCACGAGAGAAGCAAAGCAAGCCTGGGATCAAAACATCAGAAAAGAAAAAGATGGCATCTGCACACCAAAAAATCTTACTTCTGAGTAAAGACATAACTTCTTCTTGGTCATTCAACGAGTTGATGCACATGCGACGACAATATATGCCAATGAAAATACTCGGTAAACTGAGTCCCAACTAGGGGGCATCACCATTTGGTCTCTTTCCTTCCACCCGCACTCTGAGCTTCAGTTTCTCCACCAATAAAACAAGGCAATGGAACTCCATGGTCTCCCAGGTCCACATCCACAGGGCAGGATCTCAATAAACCCCTTGCACCCTGGGGAAAGCCACAAATCTCATGGGGCGGCACCCAAATAGAAAAGGGAGGCCGGCAAGCAGGTGCCTCTGGAAGGGTTAGGTCACAAGGAAAAAGGAAAAGTTCCAAAGAAAGCGTGACCTTAAAACTGAGTCTTGAGAGAAAACGGGGGCAGTGTAAGAGGGGAGCTCCTGGAAAGTTGGCGTTCGCAAGGGAAGCGACTCGGACACGGAGATGGGGACAGCCCGTAGGAGCCTGGAAGGGTCCGCGCTTGGTCCCTGGCAAAATTTTAAGGCGACGTGCCTCCGCCAGCCGAGCAGAGTACCGGCCACCCTCACATCGTGGGCTCAGCAGGTGACTCACGATCTACGCGCCTAACTTCCCATTTGTAACTGGGTGTTGCGACGGAGGAATGAAATATCGGCCGACGCGCAGCTCGCATTGTGAGGGACGAAGGGAGGGCTGGGGACGAAGACTCCAAGTCTCGGCTTACCTCGAACGACGACTCCAGCTCGTCCACCAAGGTGCTGCTAGAAGTCCTCGGCGCGCCAGGCGCTGCCTGAAGAAGCGAAGCCTGGCCCGGGAGTCCCGGCGCGGGTTGCGGGGGACCCGGCGGCTGCCCTGAGAACATACCACCCAGCGGAGCCGCCATGTCTGCGGTGGCGGGTCGCCGCCCACTGCGCCTGCGCGGAGCGGCTCCGGCCACTGGCCGCGCGTGGCCACGTGACAGGGCGGCCGCTGGGGCGTGTGGGTTGGGCGCGGGGAAACTGGATGCTCCGTTCTCCAGTTTGGGGCTCTTTCCCGCTGCCGCGGGTGATGCCTTGCTTTTCCTTGTCTTTGTTAAGTTTGTTGCAGAAAGCTCTGTCCTTGACCCTGAGAGCAAGCCAATAAGGAGGACATGGTTTTGACAAAAAGGCTTATTACTCTGCTAGCAAAGGAGAAACACAGGGGACTCTTGTCCCACAGGCTGGGATTCTGCCCATCAGTAGGAACAGGGGACTTTTAAAGAGGTGATTCAGAGAAAATTAGATTAGGAAGGAGAAGATCAGGGAGGAGAAGTCCAGGGGAAAATTGGGGAAAGTTAGGGAAAAGAAGATCAGGGAGAAGAAGAAGGTTGGAAAAAAAAAAAAAAAAAAACGCAAGGGATTCAGAAGCCACAGGGGAGATAGTCAAAGCATCAAGTGAACCCGTTACAAGTACAAGGCGATAATGGATGGCTAACCGTTGTATGCAGAGAGAATTAGTAACCGCGGTGGAGCAGCCCGCGGGAGAGGTCGAGTTCCCTGTGGGACCCTGCGACCTGAGCGGAGGGACTTGGGCCGAGTCACGTTCGTTCTCCTTCGCAGCTCAGTTTGCCCCTAGGTAGAAGGAGTCACCCCTGCACTCCCCAGCAGTTACTGAGAGTTCACTCTGTCCCGGATGCTCATCCAGTCGTGGGTTATAGCGGGAATGAGGTAAGAGAAGCCACTGCCATTGTTGAGGCTACCTGTGTGCCTGGCATTGTTTTAGGGTGGCTTCGAAGAGGAAGTCACCGTGATAATCTCAACAATTGCTTTTTGACTCGTTTATTATTTATTTCAAAAGCCTTCATTTTGGTTACCATGGAACACACAGAACTCTCCGTGTCTCAGGCACTATTTTATGATCTAGGGGTTACAGCAATCACCCCAAATTTCTGGAGAAAGAGAAACACGTAAATATACATATATATCAATATAAAGGTAAATATTAGGAAAAAAATTAAGCCGTGTGAGGGGATAACTGGTAATGGAGTGGTGTTCTTTGAGATGAGTGATTGGGGAAGACCTGAATTGGAATGATTGAAGAGTTAGGAGAGCTTTCTGGACAGAAGGATCCTGCCTGACTGGCATATTTAAGGAAACACAGGAAGCCCAACTGGGCCAGGGTAGAAAAGGTCAGAGAAAAGTCCTTTGCCTGTTAGGCTTTAATCAAAGTCAGCCTCCCAGTCTAAATTAGACCCAGAACTCCCAGACTCTTCTGTTTAAATTTCTTTACAGCATTTAAACATAATCTGAAATTAACTTGTTCATATAATTTTTTATTGACTAAATTGCAGACTTTTCTCCTCCTTTCCCCTCTTCTCCTGGCATCAGAGCCTGCTGGTCTTATTTATCCTGTCCCCAATATCCAACTGTTTCCAATTGTGCTTGGCAAAGATAGAGGTAATAAGTATTTGCTGATAGAAAGAATCAAAAGAAAAGACTAGGAGGATCTAGTCTGAAAATCTACTTTATTCTCAGGACACCTTTACATGTCTAAAAATTATTGAGGATCCCAAGTGTTTATTTTTGTGCATTGTCTGCTAATATTTGTCTATTAAAATTGAGAATTTAAAAAAATGCCAATTCACTAAAAATAATAAACCCATTACATATTAACATGAAGTTTTTGTTAAAACTATAACTTTTGCAAAATTAAAAAAAATGGTAAGAAGTTTGTCATTATTTTGCTTTTTAGCAAATCCCTTTAATATCCAGTTTACCTAAGGGCCATATAAGTTGCCTGAGAACAACATCAATGGTAGTTGCCTGGGATTCACACCAGAGGTTTCTGGAGACCAGTGAGGCAGTGATTTAGAAGAGTAGAAAGAGTGTGCTTTTTTTTTTTTTTTTTTTTAAAGAGAGAGACAGAGAGAGAGAGAGAATTTTTAACATTTATTTTTTAGTTTTCGGCGGACACAACATCTTTGTATGTGGTGCTAAGGATCGAACCCAGGCTGCACGCATGCCAGGCGAGCACGCTACCGCTTGAGCCACATCCCCAGCCCAAGAGAGTGCTATCTTGTATTGGGGCAGTTAGACAGGTGGTAAGATATATAATCAGCTAAACTCCATGAGTTATTCAGGGGTTAGAAATCTAGTTGGGAATTGAATGCCTGATGTAATTTGAAGATAAGGTTTAAGCTCTTATTTCCCTAGGACCACAGCTAGGGGAGAAGCTCACAGCTCTTCAACAGCAGAGCTACCGCTGTAGAATATGGCCCATTACACAAGAAGAGCCCCAAAGAAATGGTCAGGCTAATTCCATCTGATTGATCTGCTACTAAGTGGTAAGAGAGTGGTTCCAGAACTACTCTTCTCCCCAGCCTACGACCTTGAAGAGTATGAGGACATCTAGGAATTTACTCTGCTGTAATCTTAAAACCTTTAACTGCCAAGCACTCCCAAGATTCCATCAAGTTCATCTCTTACCACACTGTATCCTTTCTCATCTATTCATTCAACCAATATGGACACTTATCAGTGGTCTGAGTCAAGTAACATGAGCAGAGATTTAGCAATAAACTGGAGAGGTATGGTACCTACCCTCATCATACTTAATGCACTCTCCCTTTATAGCAAGGGTTTATAGAGTGTCAGTGATGGATTCTTGTGCTCAGTGCTGTGTTGAGGGTATATAGATGCTCGACTTTGCAAATCTGGAGTCTAATCCATGATCTACTTTAGAGTTCATAAATTGTCTCCTTACCTTCTTCTGTTAGAATAGCAACACAGCCAGCTAATCTCTGTATGCCCCCCCTTCCCTTGCAGTAGCTATGGCTTACTCTGATTGACATAATCTGAGTATATATGAGACTTCAGTGAAAACTCCTTCAGATGTGTAAACTGCAGTTGCACCGGTTTTGTCCTGCTTTCTTTCCTCAATTTAATGTTGCAACCACATCAGCTACCTGGACTATGAGAAAGCCTTCTACCAAAGCCTTACTAGCATTTCTGACTCACTCAGGAGTGTGTTTTTCGTTTCCTTCATAAGCCAATAGTTCCCACTCTCTGAGTCCATCTTTCGTGATGAAGTAGCTCCTAAACAAGGATACCCAAGGGAAACAACCCGTTTACTCACTTCTCTGCCTGCTTTCAAGTCTAAAATATACCACAAATGTGCACACTCATTTCCATTCCCTCTTTATAAACCAGTTTAGGTACATAATATCCTCTTATCTGACAAACATTTTTAAAGTTAAAAATAACTGTCCTCAACAGTTTTTTCTGTCAAATAGTTTCCAAGTTTTTTTTTTTTTTTTCCTTAAAAAGGGCACAGATTCTATTCATGGATAATTTGATCCATCTTACACAAAAGTAATGGGAAGACCTTTTGTTCTAAGTCTGCACAAATGGAATTCTATTGACTGGTGGTAGTCCCGCAAGGTTAACAAATAGATACTCATTTATTGTCCCTTTCATGATCTGGTTTCTTGCTTTCAAATAAATTCCATATCTGTTCAAGTCACTGAACTGAAAGCAAGCATTACAATATATTAATTAAGCATGCCAGCTCTGAAAGCCACCCGAGTTTAACCCTTTGTTCCTTGACATCACTGACATTTTACTAAACCTGTCTCATGCCTCACCTTCCTCATCTATAAGGGATAATAGCACCCACCTCACTGGGTTATTAAGAGGATTCAGTAACAATATATGAAAACCCTTAGAACAGTGCCTGGCATATTGGTGAAGTTTGAATAGTTGGTTAATACTATTATGATTGATTCATTTTGGAAACCACAGGCCAGGCCTGTTTCACAAACTAATAAGCTCACTCACCGAGTGTCCCAAAGTGATTGATAGCATTGAATATTTCCATCACTTTGCCCCAATTTAATTACTCAGTTTATGTTAATAGGCCAAAGAGACAAGTTCTGTTGTGGTAGAGTTACCGTAAGTAAATATCAGAGCCAAATCAGAACACCAAAACTTGGATTTATTGTTTCTCACAATTGCATAGTAACTTAATTTGCTTGCATTTCTAGCATCACAAATCTGAAGTACAATTTTTCTTCTCAATGAAAAACAAATACTTTAAAAAGTGATCAGGAAGTTAAAAAAAAAAACTGATCATGATGTGTAGAATATCTTAAAAATCTTGCCAAAAAGATATTAGCTTTACTTTTATAAATCTTTGCATAAAATGAAAAATCAAGGCATACAAATTTCATTTAGTTTTATAGTTTTAAATACCATCTTTTGTTGCCTTTAAAAGATTTTTATTCATCCAAAAGTATTTTCAAGCTCCACTGTCCAATTTCAGACAAATGAAGGCATTTCCGAGTGTCTGAGCTAAGCACTGTCTTGGCTGAAGCGGAGTAAGAACTCAATCAGAGTCCTTGTGGGCCTCCCGGTCATGCCTTTCCGCAGGTATGGGACCTCATCTTTGTTGGTCATCACACCTGCTATGTCCAAATGTGCCCACTTAGGATGAGTCACAAATTCCTTCAGGAACGCTGCAGCTGTACATGCCCCTGCAGACCTGAAAGAGAAAGCCTACGTCAAGGTGCATGAACCATTTCATCAATTCTTGCCAAATAGGTTCTATGACCAGAGAGCAAGAGTCAAAGTTACAGGACCAATTATGAAGTTAACCAGTAACTTCAGCAGTAAAGAAAAAATTTTGGATTCCTTTTTCCTATGTAACACCTTCCAATATTTTCCACATCCTTTCCTTATCATTTGTTTACATGTAAAATATAAGCAAATGTGAAAATGTGCGAAATACTAAGAACCTGTTGGAGAAATACCTTGAAAACTATAGACATTAGAACTAAGCTTACAAGCAAAGGAAATCAGAGATTAAAATTTTGTGTAAAGATGATAAAATTGAAAATAGTGATTCTTAGGCAACCAAGGATGATTGTAAAAATGAACATCTAGCT